CAAAAAAATTGACTGCAGTTGACTGTTTTAATGAGTGTTTAGCTATGTAAAACAAATGGCTAGTCTTGGCCACATGAACTCTCTATGGCCAAGAACCTTGAAAATCACTCATGTTTGAATAACGGAACATTATTCAGGCTAATCGAATTTTACAATTATAATAACTGCATAAACTTTTTTTTTAAAACACTTTTTCTTAGCCACTTGGATAGTCCCTTTCCATCACACACTGCTTGTTGGTAGGTGGGAAGCTTTGGTTTTACTAATTCACATACAGAATTTGGCTAAAATGAGCTGGGATTTATACTGACGCTAGATATTTTCACTTGCATACTGCAGGAGGGAAATCAGTGATTCACCTGAATGTGAGTTCTTAGGTTGGTGTTCAATGACCTGGACATTGACAACGGTTTGGTTTTTGGATTGCAAAGCAGACATCTGAACACGTACTTTTTTATCAGAGGATTCAACAAGTTTCAAAATCTCTGAAGATAAGGCCACGGTGAGGTAGCGACAGTTGGCTGCTCTTCTCGCTCTGCTCCTGTATTCTCCTCCATCCTGTGTGTGTGGCTCTGTGTGTCTGCGTGTGTCTTAGTTTTAGAAAAAGCTTCAACAGGTAAAAAGATTTTTCTGCAGATTTGTGACTTTACTTGCGCCGCTTCTCCTGTTAATATGGTAAAGCACTCCGGAGAGCCGAGACCAGCTCGATACCAAGTAGCCAATGAGCTTTCAGTTTGGGTTGCTGCTGCTGCTGCCAGCTACTTCTAGACACAGCAGACAAACCTGTGGAAAGCTGGGTGATGGGAAAGAAGGAGAAGATGATGAGAAAAAGAAGGTAGAGAAAGTGGAATGCTGAAAAATCTGGGGAAAGCAAAGTGAAATAGTGTGGAGCATGAACATAAACAAAAATAAATATGGATCCAGGCTAATAAATGAGTACCTTGATAGGTGCTTGAGAATGGCTTTGTCCAGAGGCGTGGCCAGAAAACTTTTATGAGGGTGGCCAGGCAATAACCAATGTACAGTGAGGGGTGGCTGAAAATAGATAGAAACCAAAAGCTCTCGGTAAACCTACACTGTTCCAGCCTAAAGCCCACTTCTCTCATTAAGCCATACATAAAAACAAAACAAAAACAAAAACAAATGGTCAGTTCAGGTGTTTTATAAAATATTTGAATCAGGAAATTGTCTATATACCAAACTGAACTATTCTTCTCTACTTCAAAAAACACTTCAGATAATTTTTTTTAATTAAAAGTTAGTTGTATAACATTCTTGTTAAAGTAACAGCTTATAATTAAAAATGTCTCAGGACCTTTACTGGTTGATGATTTTCTGTATTCTGACGCCGCTGACTTTTACTTGGTTACCCCTGCTCTGAGGAAATCAGCTGAAATATGAAGCTCTGATTGTTACTGGAGGCTGATGAGAAAGAAATGGATCTGGTTCTGATGGTGTCATAGTGGTATGGGTCACATCAGGTGTGCAGAGTCTCATCATCAGGACATCAATAAACGATCATTTTCATTAAATGAGTCCAAATAAAAACCAGCTTCAGGAAACAGAGCAGAGAAAATGGGTCAATAAACTGAAAAACTGCATTAATTTGAGATAAACTGCCATGAGAACGTAAATAAATTAAAGTCATAAATATTTAGAAGTCTCTACACAGAGCAGTCTGATCAGCAGCAGCTGCTAGTCCTGCAGCTTGTTTTAAGCTGCTATTAACTTTTTGTTTTTAACAGCTTATGTACCTGGCCTGCCTGCTTTGCAACAGTCTCTTCAATCAGCTCTAATGTAAGGTTGTTCCTTCTGCCTTGCTGCAGGACAGAAAGTCATTTTCTCTGTACTTCATGAATTACATTGGAAATACACAGTTATTTATACAAAGTATAAAGGTGGGGAAAAAAAAAAACAATATTGCTTTTATCTTTATCTTTGATGCCAATATGAATTTGCAGCTCCCTGTGTTTCCTTTTCCATGGGAAGTGAGTCCAAGTGGCTTTTTGAGTGTTAAAGGTTGCTGAATCCTGGGCTAATGTTTCCCTTTCTGCATAATTAGTCATATTAGTTATAATAGTTATAACATTAGATGCAGCCTGTATGAGAACAACCACAGCCTGAGTTTTACAAAATCATTATGGAATGTTACTTTTTTGGTGAAAACATAATTAAATAAGTTTACTTTTACAGCAAAAAACCTGGCTGTCACAGTCCACTGAAATAGTTTTTCTCACAGATGACTTCTTCTAAATTACTTGATTTTAAGACTGACTTCTGCTGAATAAAATACTCAAAGGAACCTAAAAAACAACCTGGCTGTATTATTCTGTGAATACTGTATGTAATTTCAAATGAATACAAAATAGGATGCTTGAAAAAGTCTTTATCACTCCCCTTCAGAATGAACTGTTTTTTTTTTGTAATATCTCTTTCATTTGATTGATAGATGGAAAGGGACGATTCTTTATTATCATCTTGTTTTATTCAAAGTAAACTTTATTACTCAAACTGTTTTGCTTAGGGTCTAATAAAGACAATTTTCATATCAAAAAACATGTTTTTGACTAAATATCAAAATCAAAGTCACAATTAAAGATGGTCAGTCAGGCCAAATGGCAATAAGAACATAGCATAGAAAAATCTGCTGTGAGCTTTATCAACATGTTTGGACTCTACATTAGTTGGACCAGCTAAGCAGTTTAAATACGTATTTAACACAATACCTGCATCAGTTTAGCTGCTCAAACCGCCTCACACATGCAACTGAAATGGTTTTGTTGTTTCCAATAAGGACATGGGAAAATGTCCATTTCAATAAAGATGTTCATCCGATTGCAACAAGCTGCATCCTCTCTCTGCTCCATAACCTGTTTATGTGTTTGAGAAGGACCTGGATCAACATCTTCACAGCATGCATAGCTGTTTTTCAATTTTTTTGTGTATAATGATTGTTATAAAAAAATGTGTTGCTTTCAAACTGGCCGCCTACATAAAGTTCAGCGTTGATAACACCATCCCCACCAGAACAGTGACATTTCCAATTAATAAACCATGGATCACAAGTGATCTAAAGGAACTGCTTAGCAAGAAAAAACAAGCCTTCAGGAAGAGAGACAGGGAATTATCAGGGAGTATACAGAAGCAACTTAAGGTCAAGATAAGCGAAAGTAAGAAGGCATTCAAGAAAAACCTGGAAAGAAAGCTCCAGCAGAACAATATCAGCGATATGTGGTCAGGGATGATGAAGATCACAGGCTTTGAGCAGAAGGAGGATCAGACAGATGGAAGTTTGGACAGAGCAAATGAACTGAACACCTTCCTCAACAGGTTCTGTTCAGAAACAAGATCAGCATCGTTCTCTCCTGCCAGCTAAATGTTTACTGAATAGCAATAGGATGTTAAATCTTAATCTACATGTTTAAGCAGGAGACAGAATATCTTTAGTAGAACCCTGTATTTATCTTAACTGCTAAAACTTCTGGTTTTATATATTTATTTGGAAAACCACATATAAATTAACAAATAAAAAGGTTGCTATGGCTGAAAAGGTTATTTAGATTCTTATTTATATTTTGAATATTTTTGTACTTTAATGATTGAAGCATCAGAAGTTTTAAACAACGGGATTTTTAGATGTTTTATTAGATTTTATCCAAATATTAATCAGATGTTATGATTGAAACATAAAAAAACATTAAAAAAATATTTTCTTATTTTTATTTCATTCCTCAATTGGTTGGCTATTTTGTACTTTTACTTTAGTAAACCTATGCTATAGTGGTGCTACTCTTACTGAAGTGCAATGTTTGGGTACTCTTCATACCTCTGAATGATATATAATTAATTACTCAACAGATCAGATTCTAACAGAGTTGAGTAGTTATTAATTACTGTGACTAAGTTACATTTCCTTCAGCAGTATTTTGAAGAGACAAAATATTTCTAGGAGAGGTTTTTCTGCACCATAGTTCTGTTAATTTGAGTAATATTTTTTATAAAGTATCTCTACTACTACTTGAGTCAAATGTCTGCCTACTCTGTCCACTGTCTGTAACTGAGGTATTCAGAGATCAATTAAAAATACAATAAACAGTAGATTTTTTTCAGTGGAAGCTCTCTTCCCTGTCCTAATATATATACAATACTCACTGTGAGGATTTATATTTTGAGTTTTAGGTTAATAATATCAATCTGGGAGAGCATTTCTTCATTTTCATTCTGAAAACATGTCCTTGCTGGTATTTTTTATGGAATTTCAATTTTTAAATTACCAGAAATTGAAAAATAAGTCTGACTGAATAATTTCTAAACATTAAATACAAATACTCTGAAACTTCAAAAGCTTTTTGCAGAATACTTTGTAAACATTTTTTCCCTTAGATTAATTAATTTTACTTTTATTCATTAAATGTTGAAGGAGAAATACTTGAGTACAATTTTTGGTTCTCTAATTACCTCTGGCTTCAATAAGAGGCTATTCACTGCCCCCTAGCGGTAAAATAAGGTTTTGCTTTCAACATGATAATTTCTCTGGAAAAACTAGACCCATTTTCTCTGCTCAGTTTCCTGAAGCTGGTTTTTATTTGGACTCATTTAATGAAAATGGTCGTTTATTGATGTCCTGATGATGAGACTCTGCACACCTGATGTGACCCATGCTTCTTCCAGACTGACACATTTATTTAATTATTACAGGAGAGAATGAACAAAGCTCCGGTTTTCAGGTAAATTTATTCATTCTATTGAATCAACAAGCTGATATTGTTAATAGAATATTGGCTCCATGGTTTCTGCTCTGTCAACTTGGTCTGATGTTCTGATTTTATCGCTATTTTCTGTAACTTTCTGACATTTTCTCGAACGGACCAGAGGCTGGTAGAAAGTTCCAGCGGTGACGTCACGGCGCATTGCTCCTTGCTGCGCGCTGATTGGACGAACTCTGGAGAAGCAGCTAGAAGTGAGTGAAAGGCTTTAAATAGCTGTGAGGCTGAGACTGAGGCAGTCAGAGACAAACAGACCTTCAGAGGACTTCAGGAGAGCTCCACAAGAGGAGAAGAATCTAGATGCTTTTCTGCAGAGGAAGCACTGAACTACAGTAAGTTCTCCTTTCATCATCTGCTGCTTCACTCTTTTCTTTTTTGTTTTAACAGCAGTAACTAAATGAAAGATCTCATTATTTAATAAAAAGATAGAAACAGACTTTTTAGAATGTAGATAAAGAGAGATGAACAGATTTCTAGAACTAAATGTTCTAGTAAACATCTCTGAGGCTTTTTATTCAGCATTACAACACCTGTTTTATTCTGGAAATAAGTGTTATAAAGTGATGGAATAATGTGAGATTTAAATTGTTTGGTATGAAGATCAAAATATCTCCTATTCACTTTATTCCTCTGTCTCTTTCCTTGTTCCTTTGCTTTTTTAGGACTGAAAGAAAACTGAGCCAAGATGTCTAAAAACACAGCCATCGGCATCGACCTGGGCACCACATACTCCTGTGTGGGGGTGTTCCAGCATGGAAAAGTAGAAATCATTGCCAATGACCAGGGCAACAGGACCACCCCCAGCTATGTGGCCTTCACTGACACTGAGAGGCTGATCGGGGACGCGGCCAAGAACCAGGTGGCTCTGAACCCAAGCAACACAGTGTTTGACGCCAAGAGGCTGATTGGAAGAAAGTTTGATGATGCGGTTGTCCAGGCTGATATGAAGCACTGGCCCTTTAAGGTGTTTTCAGAAGGAGGAAGGCCCAAAATACAAGTGGAGTACAAAGGGGAGAACAAAGCCTTCTTTCCAGAGGAGATCTCCTC